GTTGACCCAAATATATTTTTGAGCCTGGTTCAGGTCAGAGAATTTGACCCATTTATTATTCGGGCAAGTTTGGGTTGACCAGGTTTGGGCCAGGTCATTTTCTGGTAGAACCCGAACCCAACCCACCAACCCAAATTGAAATCCCTAGGTGTCAAAAATCAACTCGACATGTCAATATGACGCAAATCGACTAGATAAATTTGAGTTTGGGTTGACTCAAATATTTTTCGAGTCGGGTTCGGGTCAAATAATTCAACCCGTTTATTATTCGGATAGGGTTCGGTTTGACCCGATTCTGATCGGGTCATTTTTTGGTCAGACCCAAACCCGCCTACCAACTCGAATTGACACCTCTAAAGATAAGATAAATAAAACTAAACTTAGACGATTTGGACATGTACAATAAAAAGTAATAAAATTAATATCCAAGGATTGGGGAAGAAAAGTGATAGTCCTTATCATGGATGTTTTTTAAAATGATTTGTGAAAAATATGTTTAATGTCTCATGATATGACTCCTCTGATTTATTCATTCTGTGATAAAATGTAAAGAGTTATAGCTAACAGCTCTCTGGAAGTCATCCTGACGGAACCATGAAGTTCATGATGTCGATATAGTTTTTCTAAAAGATCGATGAGTACGAACTGTATCATACGGAATATATTGTTAAATCTTGTTAGGTGCCATACAAACAATTCTCCATCACACTTACTGCCTTTGTATGTTGATGTCATGCATGGAGATCAAACAATATATGAGTTATTACTTCTCATAGCTCAGACAAAATGCAGTTGCAATTCTTCTTCTGTATCTTTCTCTATCAATGTTATTCATTGTCTATGTAGCTAACATATATAAATATCACCGTAGAATCATATCATGATTTTATTCAAAAGAAAAATAAAGAAATTTCGAAAAGCAATTAACAAGCTTCCAAGAAATAAAATGAAAACATATTATAAGTGCAATAAATACTTTCATCATAAAAAAAACAAATATAAAATATTCATTGAAGTTCTCATAGTAAAGTTGAAAATACGGTTGTTGTGCATTAACATTCCATTTGACCATTACAAATGTGAATTCACACATTGAAATGACATAATCATCATATTCTGTGTTGGTGATTCACATCATCTAATGTATGCAGTCTTACACTGTTGGGAACACGTGTACCCACATGTGTACCATCAATCGCTCCAACAAATCAGTGAAATCAACCTGTGTCATTCGAAACATATTGCTAAAATTTGTCAGTTGACCCAAAAGCAACTTCCCAACCCACTTGTCGCCTATGTATGTAGAAGTCATGCAAGAAGATATATATGAGTCATAACATTCGTACAATAAACATGATGCAGTTGTAAATTTTCTATTGTGTCACTCTATCTGTGATATTCATTGTTTGTTCAGCTATCACATAAAAAAAAAAAAAAAAACTGAATTAGATTTAAATGCATTGAACATGAACATGAACATTAGCATATAAAGAACACCATACTTTAAGAAATGATTTGAAGATGTCCAAATTAAAAAAAATAGAAAAATTGGACTCCAAACAATATAAATTAATCAATCAAATAATACGAAATTCACTCATCCCAGTTGTCGTAGTAATATCGTCAGTAATTAATCTTACGACTTTCATTGATATGAAAACTCTCTTCTGGTCGGGTCTTCCAATAACTTCATGGAGAACGAGTAAAAATGGCATGTTCTCATCAATTTATGGAGGATCTTTCAGAATTCTTATAATCTGCTTATTAGAAGTTGCATGTGACCCACTAGGCTCACTGGTGCATGAAGCCACCGATTGGGAGATTTGAATTCTGATGAAATAGCATCTTCTTTTTTCATTTTCTCAACTTTGGACGTTTGGTTCAACTACTAGATCCTACCTCATGTGGGTTGGGGTTAGACCCCTCATTGGACCCAGCAAATGGCTTGCTTCTAAATGCTCATATCGGGCTTCGTGCTCTCTCTCGTTGAAACATTAAAACTTTTCGAAACTAAAGACAGTTTGGAACCAACACTAGCCACCAAAGCCAGAGAGGGGAGCCGCAGAAGAAAGGCTAACCCTATCCACCGAAGCGACATAGAAAATGGGAAATGGAGAAGAAAGGTCTAGTCGCTACAACAACCACTGAAGCCAACCCTAGCCATCGTAGCCACACAGAGGAGAAAGGAGCACACGAGAGCGGGATACTAGAGCACGAGAGCTGTGGGGTAAAACGAAAATTATAGCAAATAAATGCAGGTTGCAGGGTCAAACCCGCGACCCGCGTTTAATTAGCTTTTCCCAAAATGTAGGCATGACATGATTTCCCATCGCACCGTGCCTTTTATGCCACCCACGCCAAACACGCCCTAAATCTCCTCTAATTAGGTTATTTAATATACAAACGTCATATTTAATATTTTCCATAACACTCTTCTTTAAGCTGGAGTATAGATATTGATCATGCCCGACTTGTTACAAATGTAAGTTACTCTTCCTCCATTAAGAGTCTATGTGAAGATGTCTCATAGTTGTTTCCCGATCATTACATGAGCTGTAGAAATCAATTTTTGTTGAATCTTTTCACGAGCAAGATGACAATTTATCTCAATGTGCTTTGTTCGTTCATTGAAGACTGTTAGAAGCAATATGAATTGCAATTTGGTTATTACACTACAAACTTTGTTAGAGTAGTTATCCTAAAATCCATCTAGTTCAGGAATTGGAAGACCACTATCAATTCACTCGAAGCTTGTGTCATTGTTCGATACTCATATTGAACATTGTATCATGACATACATTATATTTCTTACTCTTCCATGAGACCAAATGACCACTAATAAAGACATAATATCTAGTTGTGGATACTTCGATCAATCTTGGAGCTTGTCTATTCTGCATCAGAGAAATTTAATATTTCTATGCTCATGATCCTGATTTAAAATACCTTGTCCAGGAGCTCCCTTGAGGTAGCATAATATTTGTTCCAAAGCTGACCATTGATGGTGTGGGAGAAGACATAAACTGACTTATAGTGCTAATTGATCAAAACCAAGTCTATAAACGAGCTGAGCTTGAGCAAGTTCAAGCTTACCTCATGTTTGGCTTCTTCAAAATCACTTGTGAATGGTGTTTGTTTTCAGATTGATTTACATATTCTTGTTCGTGGTTGACTATTTACATATTCTTATTCTTGTTCGGCTCGAAATTAGCTCATTAAAATTAATTACAAAAAAAAATAGATATGTGTTATATTTGAATTTGCACTAATTTTGTGCAATAGATGACACAAACACATGGACCACATCAGTTATTAAAATGAGTTGAACACGATCATGATCAATATCTAGTGGAGCAAGAGTAACTTACATTTGTAACAAACCACATTGACTACCATATATATATAATTTCTTTATTTCGAGCTAAAACAAGTTGAACACCATCGAACAAGGAGTTGTTCATTTTCAAGTCGTTTATAGTTCGAGCTTCAAAAATTTGTCCGTGTTTAACAAAAGACTCGAGCAAGAGCTGTTCTCGAACAATGAGCTTGATACCCCTAATCAAGACTAGTTACAATGAGGTAGTTTAATTTTTCTACTATCTTCTTAGAGCATTCAGGATCTTTAAAAAGCTTTCTATCTTCGGTATGTTGCTGATTAGGAAGCATCGTAGTTTTGCATGGTATGCCATCAAGGCCGCATTCGCTTGCGAGGAACGATGTCGAACAAACGAAGCTAGCCATTTGAGTAAAACTTTCTTTTTTCTTTTTGCTTAATTGAAATCATATTTTACATACTTATAGACACTCCTCTACCTACAGATTAGGAATATACTTAAATAGGAAAAAATTGAATTTAAATATCTTCTAATTAGGTTATCTAATATACAAGCTTCATATTTAGTATTTTTCATAACAAAAATATATAGCAAGCAACAAGGAACAATTATGTGACTCTTATAATTGTTCACTCAAATTAAATTATTAATATAACAAACATTAATCTATGTGCAACAAATTAAAAATCGATACATCTAGTCTACTAAGTAGGGCTGTAAATGAGCCGAGCTTGAGCGAGCTCAGACTTGACTCGTGTTCGGCTCGTTCGAAATAGCTCGTGTTCGAAATCGACTGAACCGTCTCGTGAACAGTGTGTTCGTGTTCGGCTCGATTTAAATATTCGTGTTTGTGTTGGGCTCGTGTTTGGCTCGAAATTGACTCGTTAAACTAAAATTGAGAAAAATAGATGAAAGTGTGGGATTCAAACCTGAATTAAATTTATACAAAATAAGACACTAACCACATTGTCACATGAGGTGTTATGATTTAAACTTAGACATAAATATATATAATATATTATTATATAAATAATATATGTAATATATTGTTATATAAAAAATTATATAAATTTTTTTATTTCGAGTTAAAACGAGCCGAACACGAGCGAACAAAGAGCTATTCGTGTTCGGC